TAACAGTTTTTGGCCAGGGCTGGGTTTGAACCCGCCACCTCTGGCATATGGGGCCGGCGCCCTACCCCTTTGAGCCACAGGCGCTGCCCAAGACTTTTTAACATGAAACAGATTTTTTGAATAAAATGGAAAGTTTTCAATACATTGAAACAAATCCACAAGTCACCACACATAAAACACCCAGGAGGAAAAGACAAAACATCAAGTTTACACAATCCCTGTAACAGCCATGGTCTTATTCTCAGATACTCCCTAGTCTAACTCTACATGCATTCTGGACACAGAGCCTCAAGGTGGTTCTGGGGCCACACTCCCCTGAGGCTGTGGCCCCCATCTGGCTGGGCTGTGGTGACTGGCTCTACTCAGGAAGTAAAGCAGTAACCAAGCACATTCCAACAGTGTATTGAAGAAAGTAAGAAACAAGAAGGCAATGTAATAATGTTATCAGAAAGATGTTAGAAAGGACAGCTGTTTAAAGCTTCAGGCTGAAAAGCGGCTTGGCAGCTTCATTACTTTGGCTTCTTGGGTAGTGGGCGTCAGAACAGCAAGATGTGAGGTTCTGGTTCATGGATCATATAAGGGCACCATCCCTGACTCTGCTGAACACCAAGATTCCTCCACTCAGACTCAGACATCAAATGTGTTTTAGGGACCTGCTTGGCTATATCCTTGGGCAACATGACATGCCTGGTGAGTCTTGATTTTTTCCTCCTTAGGTGACCCACTCCTCCACCCGGGAACCCCTCCCCCCCACAATTTTTCTTGAGTTCTGTATTCTTTTGAGATGTTGTAGAAGCCATGCTGGGATTAAAAAATAATAACAGATAAGGGACTATATTTACTTTTATTATGGAAATATGGAAATTAATTGGCAAGAAACTAGAAAGCAAGATTTGGGCCCTTCCACATCTTGGCTGCTAATGCAGGGTGAGGCGGCAGGCTGATAAAGCAAGGCAGGCCACGTGTGAGGTGCCCCAAAGGTGCGGAAGTACCCTTAATAGTGGAAGAATGCTTACCTAACTCATAAGGTGTACATTAAACACCTAATGCAATGGCGGGTTAAAATATTATTGACAACTGCTACCTCACCAAGAGCACATGTAACATTTGATAGTGTCAGTTCAACAGTCTGCACTTGGAAGATAACACACTAGATGGTGCATACATATAAATAGCAACAGCCTATGTATGTTTACATGACACTGCATATGTTTATTTTATGTGACACTGCAACATAACATCAGGTTCAAGAAGTGCACAATAGTTTCACCAAAAAAAAAAGTCACACACAAAAATCTCATAATGTATTAAGTTTACAATTTTGTGTTGAGCCACATTCATGACCATCCTAGGCCACCTGAGGGCTATGGGTTGGACACCCCTACATTTCTTCTTGACACTGGGCTGAGTGCTCTTTGTATTGTCTAATTAGTGTCAAACAAATTATCTTTGCATGTAATAAGAAAATCTGTACTACCCAAGTCCATGCTAGTACTTTAAACCCATACCAACATACCTATACTTAGAGGAAACAGTATTTAATATCCTGGTATAAGAAGTCCTGGTGTAAAACCCCTAAAAATACACCTATTGGTTATAGGAAACAGTATTTAATGTCCTGATATAAAACTGTAATTTTGATGTTTCATTTATTAAGGCATACTCCACCAAAGTGGTAAGACAAAGGTACGAAAAATGTGAACTCAAAATGGACAAGAAAGCCAACCTATAGCTAAGCTTTGTACAATCCCTTTTGATTGTCTACAATTATTCTACCCACTAAAACTACCTTTTAAAATTCTCAAATCACATATCTTTAAGATCAAGGAAGAAAAAATGATATTACAGAAGCTATGCTTCTTGTTAGTAACCAGGAAATTGAATTATTTTACTTCAAAACTCACTTAGAGAACTATAATAAGTTACAATTTCCAAATTCATAATGATTATCTTAACTGTTTTGACATTTCTGTATTTGGTCATATTAGGAAATGCCTTACTAATAGAAAAAAAATTCTTACCATGTCCTCATTGCTGGTTACCTGTTTATACTGAGAACAACCTCGGCTCCACAGCACTACAATTAAGCAGAAACAGCAATAAATCACTTTTGTTAGCTGAGTAGCTAAAGAAAAGCTTTGTTTTTATGGAGGCAAGATTTATCAAATTTCACAATATAAAATAGAAATTTTATATTTACTATACTCACAAGAACTAGTTAAAAACCTTTCATTTAGATTTGGGGCACAGTAATACTTTTTTTTTTTGAGACACACTCTCACTGTTACCTGAGTAGAGTGCATGGGGTCATCTTAGCTCACAGCAACCGCAAACTCTTGGCCTCAAGCGATCCTCTTGCCCCAGCCTTCCAAGTAGCTGGGACTAAAGGCATGAGCCACCACGCCCAGCTAGTTTTTCTACAGAATAAGACTTAAAATGGGTATGCTTTCTAGGGCTCTGGAGAAAAGGCACATATTTTCCCGCTCTATAACCTCTCACCCACTCTCTTCCAGACATTCATTTTCCCTTCACTATATGGTTAAGAGATTTTAATGCAAGTACTTACAAGAGAAGCAATAGAATGGCACTATCATACCAAAAGAAAAATGAGTAACAGACCCTCTCCAGAGATTGAAAGAGAAACACAGAGAGCATAAAACTGCAGAAATCAGGGATCTGAGGGCCTGTGTCACAATTTCGCTCTGATGAGGTACTTAGACATCCCACCCATCTTGAAGAACGTGAATGTTTTGCTAACAGGGATCACTCGACCAACTATTGGAACTAAGGCAATAGTTGCACTGCTACAAAGGAGCATAGGATACGGAAACGTTACCTGAGTGAGTGCCAGGATGCGTGAAGCAGACAGAAGCCGTCACCAAACTTGTCAACTTTTTCCTCCCTAGAACACTGCAAACCATAGCGGCCATGATTCCCTTTCCTCCTCTTCCTTTTGTTCCAAATTGTTCCGACACGTTCCTTCCGGCGCTCTTCCCCTGTCAAAGCGAGCACTACGTTCAAAGGTTCCGCCGACGAACGCGGCAGACGAACTCAACAGACATTGGGCTTTTCAACGCGCCTGCGCAGTACCGTTCCGCTCGCGCGCGCACAGCTTCGCGAGTCACGTGACACTCGGGTTTGCGGAGGAGAAAGGGGCGACTACGCATGTGCGTCTGCGGAGGATCCTAGCGCTCTGGAAATTAATGTGGGGGCTTTTACAAATTGGGTGGTTGGAGATGCGAGCCCCGCACCCCGTCATTGCTGCCTCCGCGCTGGCTCCTGCCGTCCTCTCCACTTCAGTTTAGCGGCTTGTCACTGCGGACGACTTAGGGGCTGGCCACAGCCCCTGCCATGGATGAAGAAGGTTCCCGCATCCGCCGGCGGGTGTCTGTCCGCAAAAGGAACCGTTCAAGCTTAGGGTGCGTTTTTATCACCCCCACCGAGGCCGAGGCCGAGCCCCAGCCCCAACCCCAGCCCGGAGAGGAGGAGAGAGATGAGGAGGAAATGGTTGCTGAGAGCCGGCGGCGGAAAACCGTGGGCGAGCTGCAGGTCGAGGTACAGCCCCGGGCGTCTCATCCCACTAACCCACCTTGGAGGCGGTGACACAGTCCCAGACCTCCCTTGCTTCCCACGCCCACCTAAAGAGGTGTCGGGAGACCTGGCTGCTGGGGCTTGGAACTTGAAACTGCAAGCTTTTTTGTCAGTTTCCTTCCAGGTGTAAACAAATGACCAGTTGTAAAGTAGCCTTCGTTTGTTTCTCTCCTCTTTGTTACGGCTATTAATCGGGACTTGTTAACCCCATTTCTATATACAGGGTGGCCGTAAAGTTCGTGTGCAGATGGTACCCTGTATATATGAAATATAGACCCTGAGATGTAAAAGGTAGTAAACGCAACAAATAAGCGTTAAGGGCATGATCGAGATGCAAATATAGATTTCGAAATTACTGCTGCTCCTACTGTAGAAGCACCGATATGTATTGAAGACCCACATGTTCTGGGTACTTAGTTAAACTATTCATGATCTAGAATTTTAGAACAGTAATCGGGCCCTGAGAAGCTGAGATACTGCAATTCTGACTCTAATTTCTGTTTTCTTAATCAACTTCACTGTATTCAGTTCTCTTTTGTGTAGTAGACCACCCAAAGTCAGTGTGCAGATTCTCAGTCTCAATTCCAGATTCCTAGGAATTGCTTAGAGTGTGGTACAACCACGATTCTGTTACAGGCCGGCTTTTAGATTGGAGTCGGGTTGGGCAGCATTGCCGTTAACACGATCTTGTGAGCTGTCATCTAAGTAGATGTCTATTAGTCTTACTACCGTTTTCAGCATTTAGCACAGAGTTATGAATGAGAATCCTGGTATTCCAACAACACTCCACAAGTCCTCTTTAGGCAAGTCACTTAAACTTTCTGGGCCTCTATTTCTTAATGTGTAAATTGGTAACAATAATAATCTGTTTCGTTTACATATAGGTGTATGATCCACATGTGACCATATAGTTGTATGCTCGATATACAACTGGAGCAGCAGTAGGCTGGAGTTTTTGTTCTTAAAGAAACTAGAATTTCCATAAGTATTTTTGTTTTCTTTCCAGCATAATGACAGTGAAGAGGACATGTTTGGTGACTATGATAGCTTTACTGAAAACTCCTTTTTAGCGCAAGTTGATGATCTGGAACAAAAATATATGCAACTTCCTGAACATAGGGAACATGCTATAAACTTTGCTACTGAAGATCTTTGTTCAGAAAACATCACAAACAAACTCAGCGTTGCTCCTGTAGGCACCTTTACAGAACTAAAAACTGATAAGCACACACATAACCAGAGTGGGCATGAAAGTATCACTATTGAACCTGAAGCTGATCTTTTATATGATGTGCCTTCTTCACAAGTTTTATACTGGGAAAATTTGCAGAACTCTTCAGATGATTTGGGCGATCACTCTACTAAAGAGAGAGATTGGAATTCATCCTTTCACAAGACTGTGAATGAGGAATTGTCCCATAATCTCGCAGAGCAACCTCAGCAAAATGATAACTCATCAACTAAAGTCAGAACTAGTTCAGATATGAATAGAAGAAGCAGCATTAAAGATCATCTAAAAAGTGCCATGACTGGAAATGCCACAGTCCAAACACCCGTATTTTCTAGGAGTAAGCAGCTCAAAGAGTCTCTCCTATCTGAAGAAATTAATGTCGCTAAGAAAACAATTGAGTCATCATCGAATGACCTTGGTCCTTTTTATTCATTACCCAGCAAAGTGAGAGACCTTTATATTCAATTCAAAGGAATTGAAAAATTATATGGTAATACATTTTGCTGGAATAAAAATTTTCTGTCATTACTGTAATATTAGTGCAAATCAATAGAAGCAAATGCTTCCATGGTCACATGTCTCTCTTGAAAATAAATCAGTGTATTAGTTGTCTGCCATTCTTCTGGTCCTATCCTGCTACAACTGAACTTCCCTTCCCTTCCCTTCCAAGTTACACTTATCAAACCAGTTATCCTTTCTCTTTCCTCGCCTCATAAAATTCCTCTGCCCATTCTAATTCTGGGTTCTGTGCTTTCACTTAGCATGTGATGTCTAGGGGGTGTAAATCCAATGAAACTTTTAATGCTTACATGACTTCTCAGTTACTAACTTGAGGCCATTGACCACACCCTTCTTAAAACTGTTTGATGACCTGTTGACACACCACTCCTGGTTTTTGTGCTGATTGACTAGCAGCTATTCCTGTTTTCTTAGCTGATGTTTCCTTGGCTGGTTCTGTCTTCTCTACCAAAACTTAGTTATTGAAATTCCTTTCGACACTATGATGTCTTGAGTGAAAGAAGTCAATGTTAGTAAAACCACGGGTTAAGACTAAATATATCTGCAGTTAAGATTTACCTTCAAAGAAATATAATGATGTAGTTTATAATGTTTTTTTAAAATCCTGTCCTTGTTGGTACTTCAAATATGTGTCATTTATACACTCAACAGTTGTCACACTGTATGATCAGCCCATAAACCTATCATTTCATAAGTATTTCTGGAGCTTCTGTTGGAATTTTATGAACAATATGAAAACTTGAGTTCTTAGGGAGAAGACAATCAGGTTGGAGAAGTAGAATTACAGGTAACAATCAAAGTCTTAATACAAGACTGTACAAGAGTTCACTTCTAACTTGTGAAGTTCATGGTTTAAAAGCTTATCATGTATATTACCCTTGAAGTAGATGGTATCTTCCTTCTGCTTTTCTCCTTCCATCTTGTTCTTTATCTCCTGCCAGAACAAATACCCTGAGAACAGGGCTCTACCTAACTCAGCATTTTGTTATGTAACTAGCACTGTGACTAGTACACTGCAGTAGGTTCTCAAATGCTGGGGGTTATTAGCCTTATAAATTCTGGGCCTGTCACTTAAAAGACAGCTTTCGCACTTTAAACCTTAGTTCCTTATCTGAAATAATTTTTTGCAAGTTAGATTCTGTATCAAAGATATGCCAAATTAGATGTGGGTGATGATTGTCAATTATATTGTTAGCTTCTAAGTAAAAATTTCAGTAAATAACTTTCCCTCTTTTTACTTTCAAAACTGGCTTAATAACATGATCAACCTCAAACGTTCTGGACTCAAGTGATCTTCCTGCCTCATTTTCCCAAGTAGCTGGGACTACAGGTGCCCACCAGACTTGGAGAATTTTACTATTTTTAGTAGAAATGGGGTCTTTCTTGCTCAGGCTAGTCTCGAACTCCTGAGCTCAAGCAGTCCTCTTGCCGTAGCCTCCCAGAGTACAAGGATCATAGGCCCGACCCAACACCCATCCCTATTTGGTAGTTTTTATTAAGCTAAGCAGTGGTTCTCAAAGTGTAGTTCCTGGACTGCACTGACATCAGCTGGAAATTTGTAGAAATGCATGTAGTCAGGTCCAGCACCAAGCCTACTGCATCAGAACCTCTTAGGGTGAGACCTGGCAATCTATTTTAACAAGGCTGCAGAGGATTCTGATGTCCCCAAAAGTTTGTGAATCACTTAGCTAGAGAACTTCAACCTTATATTGTTATCTTTACCTTTTCATCATAGAATTGCATGCTTAATGTGTTTTATATGCTTAACTTTTATTTTTTAATGTGAAGATAAATGATAGTCCTATATATTAGTTATTTTGATCATTTTATACTTAAGTATATATGTATATTTTTATACTTTAAAACATCTGAATTGAAAAAATCATAGATATGGTTAAGTTGTATTTTGGCATAAACATCTATAATTTCTGTGGCTCAAGTGGCTAAGGCGCTAGCCACATACACCTGAGCTGGCTGGTTCGAATCCCCAGGCCCGCCAAACAAC